CTAATGCTAGGGAAAATGGTATTGTGCTTTACAACTCCGACAAGCAAGATTTGGAAGTTTCCTCAAATAGTGATAGCTCATAACTGTGTTTGATAGTATTATAATTTCTCTGGATATAGTCTTTAATAAAGTAGAATAATTAATTTCGCAACTCCTCTTGTACAACCCTGATTTTATGGGATCCTTCTAGGCTGAGCAACGTGAAGACTGTAGTAAAGCAGTTTCGTAAGATTTGATACAACGGAAAACTATCTTTGTCAAGGGATAGAAGAAATTGGGATTCGATAATGAACCGGGTAGCAGGTTGATCTTTTTAAACTATGAAGGAATAATCTCTTGAAAGCATGCATAATTGAAATCAGAAGCTATCTGCTTTCTAGTCTCATTGAGAACCTAGATATAAAGGATTCTTATGGCTTAAGAATGGGTAGACCACAGTCGAATTTTTGAGCAGCTAGAAAAGCAATAAATGTTGCTGCAGTCTTCCAAGTCGTATGTCAGAATCATGGTAAGATACATAAGCTTTTATAGGAAACCTGGCGCTATTGAGAGATACATGATTACGAAAACCTTGGTATTCCAATGTTCTACCGTTCCTCGGAAGTTCTCTAATGTATGATAAACAAACAGCTTGAACAAAAGAATATACCTTTGTCAAGGCATTGAAACGAATGAAACAATAAAAACCATTTGAGCGATTTAATTTGCAACAATCAATCACGTGAATGTTCGATAGTGCAATCAATTCTTGCAACTTTCTCAAATTTATTATTGGATACCACTATTTCACAATTATTTTTTTATTTTTTTAAGCCGCACCGTTGTCAGGGTCCCGAGGTGTGGCTAATGCATTATTATTTTTTAATTATTATTTCTCAATTTGAAAGATAGAGCTTCCATGAGCACTAAATAGCCACGCTAGATGCGCCATGGAATGGTATCTAACAAACACCCTATACTGAGCAAACTGGATTTTGTGGGAGGTATAAATTGGCTTATCATTATTGATTTTCAACATTCTTTTACTGTGAGCGTGACCATCAAGAATTTCTAAAAGTAACATTACCTTCACTCTTTGCCCAATGTATGAAAAGTGACATAGTGCAAATAGTGTTATAAAAGGGCCTGTTCAGTTCTACGCACAGGTGCAACACGGTTTGATACTAACGGAGTTCGGTAATATCAACAATCGGATATGAGTTGTTTACGTAAGAGCAAATGCCCGTTCAATTGGATGGTACGTTTAAACCTAACATTGGGTATCCTCGGAGAGTCTAAATCGGTATCGTTAGACATTTGCGAATTCTATATTACTGTTACCATTGTTTCGTTTAATAACGCCACAGTTGCTCCCGGCATTCAATGGGAAAGTTTTTTTTTTACCTGCTTTGATCCACAATTTATAATTGATTAAGCTCTCCGTTCTCTCTCTGCTCGTTGTATTTTATTCTCTTCATAGTTCTTTTTTAAAACTATAAATAGTGACTATTTCCTCATGTCAGCAATCAGCTTCATATGTTTCACTCTGGTGAACAACAAGAAATGAGTAAAGTTGCTACATATTTTGGTAGATTGAAATGGGGGTTTTTACCTCAGAGAAGAATTGTCGATGAAGATGAGTTCGGTCACTTTAGTGATACGCAGGAGGAAACCGGTGATGCTGAATTATCCGAGCCACTCGAAAAATTAGAATCCAAGAACGAAGTGGAAGTAGAAGTGGTGGAATCAACAAGCTTAGAATATCGAGATGAAAAGAATCGTCCTTGGTGGAAATTCTTTGATGAATTTGAGTACAGAGTCAATAAGGAAACTAAAGCTAAACGTAAGTGGTACAAATGGTTTCATGAAGATGACACTCCAGAAGAACGTCGACTTATCTTGAAGATTGATTTATTGTTAACTCTCTACTCATTGATGGCCTACTGGATCAAATATTTGGATCAAACAAATTTAACTAATGCTTATATTGGTGGTATGCGTGAATCTATTAATATGCAAGGAAATGATTTTGTTGATACTCAAGTTATGTTCTCAGCTGGTAACATCATTTTCCAAATTCCTTTTATGTATGTGTTGTATGCCCTTCCATTGAATTATGTTATGCCAATCCTTGATATTTGTTGGTCTATTCTTACTATCTCGTTATACCGAGTTGAAAATGTACATACACTTAAGGCCCTCCGATTCTTAATTGGCGCATTTGAAGCTCCAGCGTATATTGCATATCACGCTCTTTTCGCTTCTTGGTTCAAATCCAGTACTAGTGAAATCGCCAGAAGAGCAGGGTTCTATTATCTTGGTCAATTCCTTGGAATTTTGACGTCGGGTTTATTGTCTGGTGCTATTGCAAGAACTATGGGAGGGGTTGGCGGAAAAGAGGCATGGCAATGGATCTTTATCATAGATGGTCTTATCTCTATTGCTGTTGGTCTTATTGGTTTCTATATGATTCCCGGTACTCCAGAAGATTGTTACAGTATTTTCCTTTCCGATGACGAAATCAGACTTGCAAGAAAGAGAATGAGAAAAGATCAAAAGAATGCTAAACCAAGAGACAACGTCGTCAAGCATTTCTTCGACATTAAGATTTGGAAATCTATTTTCACCTCGTGGCATTTCTACGTCTTAACCTTGTGGACCATTTTCTGTTGGAATAACTCTAACGGAACCTCAGGTGCTTATGCCTTATGGTTGGAAACACTTACAAAACCAGACGGAACACCACGATTCGATCCTGGTCAACTACAGGAGTATACTGCCTTAACTCCTGGTTTGGGTTTAATATGGTTGGTTTTGGTTTGCTCCTTTGCCGATTTCTTCAACAGTAGATGGGGTGCTATAGTGTTTTCTCAAGTGTTCAATGTGTTGGGTAATACACTTTTGGCTATTTGGGATATTCCAGAAGGCGCTAAATGGTTTGCTTTTTGTTTGCAGTACTTTGGTTGGGCAATGGCCCCAGTTTTGTATGCTTGGCAGGGTGACATTTGTCGTAAAGATATCAGAGAGAGGCAGGTCGTCTTGGTGTCAATGAATATGTTGGCACAACAATCAACTGCTTGGATTGCCGTCCTTGTCTGGAGAACAGTAGAAGCTCCTCGATTCTTGAAAGGGTTTACATTTACGGCTTGCTCTGGTGTTGCATTATGTATTTGGACCCTTGTTGTGTTGTGGTTCTATAAGCGCCAGGAACGAGCTAATGCTAGGGAAAATGGTATTGTGCTTTACAACTCCGACAAGCAAGATTTGGAAGT